AAGGCTTGAATTCAAGAAGTTTCAGATTTGCGTGGTTTTTTTTTGAGTTGCAAAATCCACTTGAACATGACGCTGCTTTTTTCGAAGTTTCTCAATCCGGATCCGCCCTTGCTTTCCATGCTTTTTGGCGGACGCAATAAGTGTCGTTGTTTTTCTATTACTTACTTCTCCTCTGAACTAGACGAAATTTTGATGCTATTAATGATGATTAGCTGCAGGTTGAATCTTATAATAAAGTCGGGCGACTAAAAGAGCAAAATTGCTCCCTAATGGACAGCTTGTACGCATCAGATGTTGAAACAATACAAACCCCATAGAAAGCTGCCTGCATCTAAGCAGAATTTGTCGCGGGTTACAGCATCTGTGTGGTTGCAAAATGGATCAAGTTTATCTTGCTTGGGGGGATTCAGTTGGCCAAATTTTTGCCCAAATAGAGATTTTCTTGACAAGCAAACTGGCTCTTTGCAAAAGATGAAAGCTGGCGAAGAAAGCGCAAGAACCTAGTGGCGCCCTACACTTTTCCTCTCCGACCAAATGCTCCAGAGAACTTTTTTCGCGACAATTCAACGTCTATTTTTCTCGACTCAAGTGTGTTTGCGTCACACTTTTGGTATAAAATTCCATTGATGCGGGCTACTACTTTCTATCTTTGTGATTAGTTTCGCATAGGATGGACGAATATTAAAATTATTGATTTGATTTCTGGACGTGTGAAGTTTTCATCAAAAATAAATCAGGAACAAACGCTGAAGCTCGCAACCACGCAATATGAATCTTTCGAACCAATCGGGGACATGGATGACGACAGTCCAAATGGCGTGTGAAATAATGACGTCACTGCCAAATAGCTTGAGACTGACTATAGGGAATTTCAAAGCCCACATCTGGCCATTAGTCATAATTATCCATAATAAGCGACCGAGACGTAATTTGGTGAAATGGTCTCACCGTTTTAATTGCTAATTAATATACCACTACACTGCACAGATCGCTTTCTTTTTTTAAATTATTTAGCACCATTCGAGTTCACCTTGTTATGGCTATTCTCATTCATAGTTTATTATCAGCCGTGTTGGTTCCCATGCATAGATACCAGCAAGTACCGTTCAAGATGTCTTCAAAATAGGCACCAGTAAAGCATAAAAAGTACTGTTAAACAATGTAAACTGTGACTTTAAGCACTCGGGAGTTTTGGCTACATTTTACTGGTTGTATGCCTGTTAATTGCACACCCGGTATCAATTCCAACCGCCAAAGCCCATCAGAGCGCGCCAGCCAAACAAGGCGAACGAAAAATGCGCATAAATGGCCCCATATTCCTATCGCTATTATACGGTTTTAATTGAACAATTCGCTTAATTGATAAAAAAAACGCGACTTATAAAATTGCAAATTTCTAGCAAGTAGGGCATCAGCCGCCGAAGAAATTACTTCATACTTGAAGGCGCCATTTTAGGAAAGCCATTAAGGTTACCGTGCAATAATACCATATGTTGTCGAACACCGAATCCATCATTATTGAGAGATATGTTTTACGTTTCTGTACCGTGCCAACATAGGCGGGTATTTACCATTTTTTACATAATTTACTCTCCGTCTATTCCCTTCTGAAGAAATTAATTCTGCTCGATTAGTATGTTAAGCATGATTTTGTATGGAGACAAAGTCGCTGGTAAGTTTCAACATGGCAAAATCCGCTATCTTATCAGGCTGTGAGTGCTCAAGCAAAAGCTCCGTGATTCGAACAATTGAATATTTCACGCCTTATAAGGTGAGGTTTTTCGTGTGTTGTGTTGATAAGGATTCCAATGATATCCCGTGTTAATGCGTTAACAGCACACTACTATCGGCCCTCGTATTTTGACTGGGCGCGACAAGAATAGGCTGATTTCGATGACGAATGCCTGGTGGCTCTCGCTCTGGAGCACAGAGCCAACAGCAGCCGAGTGGACACGAAGCTTCTCGACTGCATGCTTGATGCTACGAGGGGCGTTGAATAGTAGCAAAAAAACGCTTAATAGTGCTGCCAATGATGGATTCTCTATCTAGTGCACATCGTAAACTAGTTAACCAGTCTCGCACGTGAATGAGGGTCAGTGAAAAAACCCGTCTGCTTCTTTCATTCTTGACTTAATGCATAAAAATATGGGCTCGGTGTGGGAAAACCTACTGAAAAATTGGTGGAAGCGCCATATTGGGTTTTTGTACAGTAAAAACTCGGATTGTGAGGGCGGGAATTGTCTAGACCTAGAGAATTTCAAATTTGGAGCCACTGCCCGAGCCTGTGAATGGCCATAATGACGTCATAGTCAACTGCGGTGCCAGGTTTCCACCGATTGGATTCCTGATGGTTTTTAAGGCGGCGCGACTGTGTTTACAAATCTTTGACACGCTCTACTGGACTAGTTGAAGTCGAATTTTTCCGTGAGCATTCACGGACCTCAGCAATTAAAAAATCCATTTAACTGCGCCTAATTGATAGCTGTTGAAATAATTGCTTCCGGATGGAGGTTTACAGAGATGTGAAACAGCTGTTCTGAGAAAAAAATTGACGCGCGGCAACATTGTGAATCGACCTCTTACAGGTGGCAATGCTGCGCGTGCGCGTGACGGCCATCTTGCTCACCGGTGACTCGCCCAGTCGTTTCATTACTAACTGTCGATCCGGTCGGGTTTATCTATTTGTTAATAACAAATTGTGCGTGAACGGTTTAAGTGAAGGAAACGCCGCTAAAAAATCGACCAAAAATGACGACAAATATCCAACAAGGCTCCCTGCTCGACGTGCTGAAGAAGAAAATGAGACAGACCAAGGAGGAGATGGAACGGTATAAGGACGAGTGCGAGGAATTCAACAAGAGGTTGCAAATGGAGATTATTCGGAGGGAAGAAGTGAGTTTTGCCACGTTCTGGTCGAATGCGATTAATCGGGAATATGCGGGCAATGATTTTGCAATCGCGGAATCGAAATTTCTAAGTGACTACTTTTTTCTCAATTTTACATATTTAGATAATTGTGCAATCGGCGTTGCCACGCAGCTCTTGAAATACGCCAGTTAAATTCGGCAAAAAAAACCCTCTGTAATGATGTATTTTCACTATTTCACTCACTATCTGGATGATTTTTCATTTAGCCGAATCGATAACTCATAATTTTTCGTTGGAATGTCACTGTTCGGATAGTCAATACCAATTTGTCACATAAAACACTTGTTTTGTCTGGGTTTTTTATTTGATTTTGAATGAAATGAGGGTTGATAGCTGTCAGCTTGACAGCTTTAGTCTCAGTTCGTCTCAAGCTTAAGGTCCAACCAGTAGGTATAAATGTGAGAATTGTTTTAACGAAGTAGTGAATTTGGTCCGAAAATTCGAAATCTCTTCAAATCCCAAGTCATCGAAAAATATCTTGATTTTTTGTGTTCCTAATGAACACAATATTGGAACTAATCTGTGGTAAACATACCGAAAGACTTGCTACTGCTGCTGCTGCTACTCTTTGTATTGTTTTGGCAATTCTGGCATTGCTAATCATTCAACGTCTGTGTAACCCTTTACCAGGGTCGATAACTTGCGCTCATCGTAAGCTTTAATTCGCCCAGGCGAAGAGGGTGGCTGAGGAGTAAGTACGAAAGGGAAACATCGACAGTTGCTGATCGTTTTATCAAGGAAACTAGCATGAAAAATGGTGAAACTACGGCTTTTTTCATTTTGCTCTATCTACTCGAGAAATCTTGAAACTACAATGAACGATTTTTTTCTTGTGTTTTATGTTCATATCTTGTTTAGTTCATACTTGATTATCTGCTGTAGTATTTAATGGTTGTTGCCAAATTCCGACGAATCTTTAATCCCATTATCTGATACCGGGTTTTAATAAACATACATATACAGTAATTCATTAACTAAACTATGTGGGCCAACATAGGTTGCATGCTTGCTTAGATAGTAATACATCAAATTTTTCCCAATTAGACTGGAAACCCTGTGTAAATCAAAGTGGACATGTTTTATTCGTTGGTCGAGTTCAAGGCTTCCGAGTATGAAATCACCACAATCGTGTAGGATTCCTATGCTGTCTTTGCTTGGGTCAACAATCAGCAGCAAGGAAATAAATGACCATTACTAATTACCCAACAATGCTATCCATGAAAATACCTTGTTTGACTATCGCAATGGATAGTTTTTATTAGATAGACTCCAGTGTGGGCTTGCGTAGCCTCGGCCTTTGCGTAATTAAGGCAAATTTATGTACGACCGTTAAACTGTTATAACCAGATCTTGGCGTTTCCATTTTTATTTCAAATTGTTGCTGAACATCCACTGGAAGCATTCGTATAGTCTGATAAACCGTGATCCGATGATAGCTATTTGAACTGTTCTTGAAGGAAAAAAAGGCTTCTCTCATCAGTTTCAGTTTCGAGCAAAAGTTTAAATTCTTCTTCATAAGTTTGCAAGTGTTTTTGTGGACTGTTGCAATTTTGGAGGAAGGAAGGCTTTGAGTGCCGCCTACAAATCAAACGTTTCCTACGGATTTTGGACGGCTTTGTTTCTGTTGGATCTAATCTCATTCTCAGCCTTTCACACAGTTATCAAACAGCAAACTAATAAGTTTATTTTTTTATACTAAGTAAGTTGATCAATTGCGCATCATAACGATGCCGATATTGTAATTCCTTTTGCATCTTTGTTAATTTGAATTCCAGGCGACATTTAACTGAAATAAATGTGTGCTTCTCTCGACCTTCCAAGGTTGTTTTGCTTATTCAAGTTAATAAACGAAGTTCGCGTCAATTGGCCAAGTGTTTTGCCTGATTTTCATGTTTCCTGCCGGTTTATTCAGATTGCTGGGCGTTGGTAACGGGACTGCGTTCATTGCATTGCTTGTCTCTTGTGATTGAGCGGTTTCAGCACTGAACACTGAATTCTAAAACCTTTTTTTTAATTAGGTATTTTGTTTCAGTACACCCAGATTGTTGGTTTAAAAAAGATTTCCAAGTTGCATTTACATACATTGAGTATATCAATGTGCGTGAACAATTAGGCTTCAATTTACCATACTTCCTTCCTGTTCTAGTGAATGCATTCGCTCCCATCTGGTTGAATAGTTGCCATCGTACTACCAAAATCAAATTATCATATGGGAACCGTGCGGATTGGGCGTAGCCCTTCATTTGAAACAAACCGTAATAATAATGATGTCCTATCGGTTGTTACGCAAACTGTGAAGCGGAACCTATCAACTGATGCTACCGACAAATTGAGACTGTAATTGAATGAAGACTTCCCCCATTGGAAAATGCTCGAAGCCATTCCACTAAACCACGATAAATGTTTGAGCAAGCCAACCTTGGTTACGCTATCTTGCCGGAATAAAACCGCTTTGCATACTTTAAAGTAATTAATAGCTCGATAATATCTGCTCATCTCAGTGGAGAGAACATCCTAATCAGGCTGGCTGATTAAAGATGTATAGATACGTCTATTCTTATATGTATATGGAGTATTCACCGTTTGATTGGTTATACACTTTGCTAATGGAATTCTCTTTATTTGCAGGCTGAGTCTGAGGTCGCAGCCCTCAACAGACGTATCCAACTTTTGGAAGAAGACTTGGAGCGTTCTGAGGAACGTTTAGCTACTGCCACCGCTAAACTAGCTGAAGCTTCCCAAGCTGCCGATGAAAGCGAAAGGTTCGTGGTAAAGCGCTAGTTGGTCATTTAAAACGCTCTGGACAAAGACACCTGTTTATCAGTGCAACTCAACTCAACATTCGTCACACGAACAGTCATAAATATGGCAATTGAAAGTGCATGGATTAGATTGTTTTTATCAAAAAATATCTATTGGAAGGCCAATAAACCCAATCGATTGCACTTCCTAACCAATCGGATATTCACTAAGCCATATTTACATGGAAATTGAAAATCGTTTACACGGTGTTTTCAACGCACGCGGATCCTAAATGGGAATCCAGTATGTTGCAAGCACCAATTCGACGAAAGAAAGTTCGCTTTATTGAGCACTGTCAGGTACCGGGAATTGTCCATGACTGTTTTAAATGATTACTGGTTGTTCTGCTGCAGTTGGACGTGTCGTAATTCCGCATTAACTTCTATGGGATGTTCAAAGTTGGACGATGCTAAAGGCGTGATTTCCTGTTAGCTACGGAATTTCTGCCAGTTTTCTATTTGCTCTCGTTTTCCCCCAAAAAAGCGAACCATTGTTGTGTTTGGCCACTTCTACAACAAGCTATTATGAGTCCAATAGAAAATGAATAATTGCCTTATTTTAAATGAGCGCATACAAACGCATCGGACATTTACCTCTTTCAGGATGCGTCCGATGCGTATGTACAATGTGCGTTTCCGCATTTACAATAACGCACACCTTAATCGAATTATATCGTTTGAAATACGAATTTTATTGAAATCCACACGAAAACTAAAATAAAATATGATCAAAATATGCAGAAACTGTATCAGCTTGAACATCCCATTGGCTAATTCCCCGGTTTTCTTTGTCCTAACTTGTGTTCGCTTGTTACCGCTAAAAGGATACGCAAAGCGCTGGAAAACAGGACGAACATGGAAGACGATCGCGTATCCATCTTGGAACAACAGCTTTCCCAGGCTAAACAAATCGCCGAAGAGGCCGATAAAAAATACGAAGAGGTAGACAGACACTTTTTTCTGCTGTTGAACGTCTCGCAAATGAATTTTTGAATAGAATTCACAACTAGATTGTTTCTTCATGTCGATTAATTGGTTCATTTGCGGGATTTGCAACTGGAATAACTAGTAGTATTTCACTATATGTCAAATTATGAAAATCTTCGGTTTTCAACAGCATTTTTGCATGTCGGTGTTTTAAGCAGGTTGCAGGCGGCGGCAGCAGATTCAGGACCGATCAACTTCACGCTTTGTACTTTTGCTGTGTAAAAAAATCAGCAGTTTCTTCGATTTTACGTGCTTGCACAAAACTAGAAAGAGCAGAAGTGCAATGTAGTGTTGGGCCTTTAATTGATTCTGTAGAGTTGTTTATCCCCCCGAGTGGTTTTAACCCTTTGATTTGAGTTTGTAGAATTGTATTTATTTATTATTTAACTGAATCACAGGCAACGCAAGATTCTCGAGAACCGCTCCCTGGCCGATGAGGAACGTATGGATGCCCTTGAGAACCAACTGAAAGAAGCCAGATTCTTGGCCGAAGAAGCCGACAAAAAATACGATGAGGTTAATAATGTTTGTGATGATGATGCCGTGTTACCGCCTTAACAAGTGTTCCATTTGCCAGTCTAAACCCGCCTTAAAGCTGATTTCGATTCGTTTGTGACCGGTTGTGGTGCCAGACACGCGGCTCGCGCACACTCAGAGCGTTGCCGGCCCTTTAGGCCCTGAAAAAAATGAAAAATTAATATTGTGCAAACAGCAATGAAAAATATTTGTATTTGGAACATACTCTTTAGTTGAAAAACTGGCCGTCATACTGACCAGATTTGCGGCCCAGTGTCCACGGAATTAGTGCTGTTTTGCGGAAGTGTTCGGGTGATTTCAAATTGGCAGCTTCAAGTGTTTTCATTATTTGTAAATAGTGTTTTTATCGTCTTCTTCAAGTTGGTTTTCACAGTTTATAGGTTATTTCTTAATTGTTGCGCTAGTTTTAACGATTTGGCTGTTTATATTGGGTTAAATCGTCGCTTTTTGGTTGTTTGGGATTTGCAATTTAGCTGGTAAAAGACGAAACGACTCGAATTATTCTTTACAAAAAATAATTATTCTAATCAGAGAAACAAAAAAAAAACGAGAATGTTAAAGAATTCGATATTTTATTGATATTTTAAAGTTACTGATATATTAACCAAAGTTAAATAATGTGTACAGAAAAGGGCAAGTTATGTAGTATGTAGCCACCTAGCTGGGACTTGCCTGCAAATTGATACATTTAACTGTTCTTTGAGTCATTTTAGAAGTTTTCCTGTTTTTTTCTAGTTCGCACAAAGGGCGCGCAGTCTGCAAAATATTCAGCCCTTTATTTCGTCATGAGTTTAAAAATAAAATGCTAAATTGTTGTCATTCGTCTTGTAAGAGAAAGGACTCAAAGTCGTCGATTCAAATGTATTAATCTGTTCAGGTAAGTCCCATTAATTTTGTCGCTGATTTGAGAATCTTCACTAATTTAAATCGTCAAAATGTACTAATCAAATCGGGTCACGTAAATCAAAGTAAGGCTTTAAAATATTTGCTATTTGTCCATTCACGATAGGTTTCTTATTGAAAGATACCTACCCAGTTAGATCATTGTATTTGTCCTTCAGTGGTAGTTGCGTAAGTGCTTATCGTTATTTTGTTAAATTTCCCAGTCTCACGTAGATGAATGTTATCTCACTGGGGCTTATCGAAAGTTTCACTGTTAAGTCGGAATGTTAATTTTCAACTCAGAAACTTTACCTCGCAATAGTCAAAGACACTGGACTATGAACGAATCGCGTTTATTCTACTATGTGAAAGACTGTGCTGGACTTTCAGTCTGATGCCATGGAGTGCCCATATGTTTAGGCTACAAAACAAAAAAGTATGTTCCTTATGACAGTATTTTTCGTTTCAGACTTGCTGAGGGAAAAATGAAAACGTTTTCTGCTCCTACTGTGAATTGCCAGATTCCATTCCGCAAAGTTTTTGGGAGCAGAAAACGTTGCTTGTTTCTCCCTATGTGTGATTTTCGTTTCCCTTTTTGAACATTCATTCATTTTCTCTTTTATCGCCCCATTTAGGTAGCCCGTAAATTGGCCATGGTTGAAGCTGACCTGGAAAGAGCCGAAGAACGTGCCGAGGCCGGTGAATCGTAGGTGTCTAGTAGTGTGTTTTTGTGTTTGTTGTCGTATTCTTTTGCCCCGCGAAGAGCCCTGCCGAACTGTTTGCTGTTTTACATAACACCGTTGTTTTTTAGTTTAGTTTTTTTATTGTCGTTTGTTGCTTAACTGCATGATTTTTGTTTCCGCTGCTCGCAGGTAGCCCGGAAGCTGGTACTAATGGAGCAGGACTTGGAGCGAGCAGAAGAAAGAGCGGATCACGCAGATAGGTGCTTGTTTTTTTGCGTTACAGCAAACACACACAAATGGTTTAATAAGAAAGACAAGAAATTGTGGAAAGTTGCACTGCGAAGAAACAATAGCGCGGTAGTGAAGAAAGCTAATTTCTGTGCGTTTGCTGCTAAGTCGTTTTTAATGGAAGTTTCTTCATGGAGATTAGTAAATGGGTATTCATTATTTTTGTTTTGGCTGAGAGCCGGAGAAATGTGCCTTTTGCTAGAAAAAAACCGCACACAGTCCTCATGAAGCAACGTTAAAGGTGGACAAAGTGGGTTGGTTGCTAATTGTTTTTTATTTTGCAGCAAAATCGTAGAACTGGAGGAAGAACTTCGCGTAGTAGGCAACAACCTCAAATCGCTCGAGGTCTCTGAAGAAAAGGTGAGTTTTTGCCAGTTGATTACCATCGTTTGTGAGCACCTACAGTTTTTCAAATTTGTCCCATTGAATTGTTTTTTCTATTTTAAAGCAACTGATTATTTTCCCTTTTTAACGTCAAATTGGGAAGATGTAGGTTCTGACTAAGGCTAGTTGAGCCAAATATTTCTCGATTTTCAACTATTTATCGAAACTCTAGGCCAACCAGCGTGAGGAGGAATACAAAAATCAAATCAAGAACCTGACCACCCGGCTAAAGGAGGTACAGCTCTTGCTAAAACGGCAAACGTTGTTTTTTTTTTCAGTGTTGTCTGTCGCCCTAACTCTTTAACAGCTCGCAGTAATTTTTTCGGCAGTTTTCTCCTGTTTAGGCATTTTTATGAACTTGCCAAGTGTTTTTAGGGGGAAAGCATCATGGCTCAAAACCGTCAGTGTTTGCCAACCCATTGAATAGTGTTTCATTGAACTAAACTTATCGGGCATACCTGGTAAGGCAAACAATGCTTTCGCAAAAAGTCGTGAACGCTCGCCTGTCGGCGTTGCTTTGCTGGCACGCGAGAGCAACAAAGACAGCCGACATGTCATTTTCCAGCCGAGAGATTTACGAGGGCGGTTCGCGAAATGAAAAACTATTCTTTGGTTGACAATGTTGTATGTAAAAATATTTTTCACAGCAAACCAAATTAAAACCATCGTGTTTTTCCCCGTTTTACTTAAGCTGAGATTTTGATGGTGTGTTTGATATGTTTTTTTTTATTCACTAACATAGGCGACGTTAAAAGAGGAAGAGTATTCGCAGGCGTTAAAACAAGTCGAGCAGCGACTAAGAGAGGTAAATGCAGCAGGATCATCGTGTAATTACTGCAAATCGCTTGAGACTGTATTTATTGTCGCGGTCACTTTTGGTAGTTGGTTTCAGCAGGGTAGTGTGTTGAAAGTGTCGATATCTGGACCAGAATGCCCCAAACTAATTAATCGCTTGCATCTGGTCAAGCATCGACGTTTTCAGCGTTTTTTGTTCTTTAGCTCGTTTGGCTCATCTTGTACATTGGAGGCGACTAGTGGTCATACGAATCGTTTGTTTTGTACATTATCCTCCACTGCTGTGTTATGTTAGATGCATCTGGGGTATATGTCCTACCTGTTTAGCTGTGTCTTATTCAGATTTACCCATTTTTTTCCAAAAAAAACGATCTTTTTAAGCATGTAGTATGATAATGTCCAGCTTGATCTTTCATTGTTTGTTCTATGTCAGGCCGCAGTGACCAGAGAACACAGCGAAGACAAAATCCGCATAATTTCAGACAAATTACGTGAAGTAAGTGCTCTTGACTATTTAAATTTACTTTCTTGCACTTTATTTTTAATAATGGGATTTTAATACATTACATGGAAGAAGTCTCTTCACGGCGCTTGATCCCGTTTAACTTATTTACATCATACAATCCGTTCGGGTATCTATTTGTAAATTAATTAACGATAGAACGCTAGAATAAACTTTTTTTTGTTGGCAAAACTGGATTATGCAGAGAAATGTTGAAAGTAACTGAGTAAAACTTTCCTATTGATGTTTACTTGAGAGTTCTGGCTACTTTCAACCATTCTCTGTACGTTATTCGACTGAAAAAGCATTTAATCAGTTCTAAAATTCAATCACATCAATTGTCTGGTCACTAAACTCATCTCTGGTAGGGTGGAGGGTTGATTTTGGAACACTTCCTATCATTCGCACGCTTCCTCAGTACGTAGGTTACATTTAAAACACATAATACGAATATTAAATGTTCAATTGACCGTTTATGTGTATGGAAACCAATATTTCCGTTTCAAAAGGAATGGTTTGTTTACACTTTTTATATTCAACATTTAATATTCAATTTT